TACTGGCCAACAATTGTCCAGGATTGTGAGAGGTATGTACAGAAATGTAGAACATGTCAAGTGTTCTACAAGTACCCCGGTAGACCAGCAACCTACTATCACCCCGTATCGAATGTCATCCCATTCGCTAGGTTCGGGGTTGATATCATTGGAGCATTCCCAGTCGCCCAAGGAGGGAAGAAGTTCGTGATCGTAGCCATCGATTACTTCACCAAATGGATCGAGGCCGAAGCATTGGCCAACATTACCACGCAACAATGCAAGAAATTCATTTGGAAGAACATCATCACGAGGTTTGGAGCGCCCATAAACCTCATCACCGACAACGGCCCACAATTCCGAAATCCAAGATTCACTAAGTGCTTGGAGGGCTTCGAGATCAAGCACAATCGCTCTTCGGTGGCGTACCCCCAAGGAAATGGCCAAGTCGAAAACGCCAACAGAACTATTGTAGATGGTTTGAAGAAGCGGTTGGGAGAAGCAGGGAACAAGTGGCTGGAAGAGCTCCCACACATCGTATGGGCATTCCGAGTAACACCCAGGAGGGCTCACGGGGAAACTCCATTCTCCCTAACCTATGGATGTGAAGCAAGGCTGCCCATCGAAGCTGAATTCCCAACGTTCCGGGAATCAAACTATCAACCCCAACAAAATGAGGAAGATCACTTGGCCGAATTCAACTTGGTCGAAGAGCGGAGAATGGCCGCGGAAGTCAAAATGAGCACATACCAAAAAGTGGTGAAGAAGTACCATGATAACAAGGTTGGGCCGCGGTACTTCCAAGTTGGGGATGAAGTCCTACGAAGAAGAGAAGCAAGTAGACCCGGCGACGGAGGAAAGCTAGCCAAAAACTGGGAAGGGCCTTACCGGGTGAGAGCTATCATTCGCCCAGGGACCTACCGGTTAGAAACTCTTGAAGGGGTACCGGTAGAAAGAACCTGGAATTCCCATCATCTTCGCATGTTCTACAAATGATTGTAATACTAGGCAAGGCCTACTTTATTATCAATCAAACCGATGATGTTCAATACTCTATTTGGTAGCGGCAGGATTGATAGGTCGAACCTATCCTAGGAGGGCTTCCAGGGTGGATCGAATCCACTTGGATAAGCCGACTGAGACACAGGCCCGGACCTGGCACGCTGGTTACAACACCGGTCTTGCTCAGTATAATAGAAAAAATATCAAAACCCGGAAGAGGGGCCCGGAAGAGGGTATGCCTGCAAGAGGGCTGGACCTGGAAGAGGGTTCGAACCGTACTTACACGGGCCCATGAGGTTTGACTGGTGTCGGGGAATCAGCCGGCGCCGTCAAATTGATTGGGGACTAAAAGATGCCCATTAAAAGAAATAGAAGGGGATCGTCCACCGTGGCGCATCCTATATCCCCCTTCTCAGGGAAGACTTGAACGGGGGGGTGAGCTAAGGCCTTCCCGGGATGGTAGAAATCAAAGGGCCATTAAAAGACTTAATCACCCGGAAGAGGGGGCCCTGGAAGAAGGGTGCATTTGAATCTTGGAGAGGGTTCGAAACCATTCGACATGGTTAAATCTCCAGTATTCTTACCGGTTAAGGATACTTCAAGAATTTCTAGGTTACAGGTGTTTTCATCTACAACCTACCGATAAAAAAAAAGAAAAGAAAAGAATACCCCGGTCGGGTATGGGCACGACAGAACTTCGAAAGTTCTACGTCCATCGGAAGGCAAGGCAGTTGACCGGTCAAAGCATGGAGTTGGAATTCACCGGTCAAATTAAAGAATTTGTGAAGCTATCCAAAAAGCAAAAGCAAAGTTCGACCGGTCAAAGTTACTTGAGCTAATCCTTCAGATGAAGTAATCAAAGAGAACTTTGAAGTTCCACCGGTAGAAAAAGATTGAGAAATGGCCTAATTTATGTACCGGTCAGAATTTCCATGATATGCAAAGTATAAATCAATGAGCAAGCAGATATACAAGGTCCACCGGTATGGAAATTAAACATGGCATTCAAACATAAAGTGAATGATAAATGTTTACAGAAACGCCGGGCATTCCCGGGAAAATGAAGTTTGGAGATTTTACAAACCAACTCAACCGGGCGCAGCCGGGAGATCAATCTAGGGGGAAGGGGGGAGTAGGCTCTTCCTCCGGAATCGGGGCCAAGCCATAGGTAGCTGCACTAAAGTCTGGGTCCCTCTTCTTCAGGACCCGGTGAGAAGCAACCCGGTCTTTCTTCTGACCGCTCTTGAACCCAAAGGACCCAATAGAGGTAATCATCTTCTTCCCTCAGGCTCCCGGTAAAGAAGCCTGAAGGACTCCGTGGTAGCTTCCGGGCTTGCCGTCATCACCCGGGCGGCTTCGGCTCTGTTCTCATCCACCCATGCAGCTGCACGACCGGGGAAGCTTTGCTCCTTCAGCGCGATCTCCCTCTTCGTCGCAGAAACTTCGTCCATGAGCTGACCATTCTCTTCCTTGAGTTGGGAGATCTCCGCCTTCATTGTCCCAGTCAAACCAGAGAGTCGGATGAGCTCATCTGCCTGGCTCTTCAGGATATGAGCCATCTCCTCGTTTTCCTTCTTCAACCGGGCCAACTCTGTAGGAGAGCCCATCCCCAGCCGTTTAGCTGCATAGGGCCCGATCTCCCCTGCCTGCATATATAAACATGCCGGTTAGACTCTCATCAAAGGAGAAGACTTTGACCGGTACAAAAGTAAGGCTTACCTCTTTTAGCCTTAGGCTTAGATTGACGAAGGCCTCTTCGATGGACTGGGAAGCCGGCTCAGGATCCGACCTCGCCCTCTTCTTGGCGTAGGAGGGATGGGTGGTAGCCACCTTCTTTTGCCGGCGACCGACCTTCTCCTTGGCCTTCTCCCTTGACCGGTCATCCACAGGCCCATCCTCATCGAGAATTTCCACGGTCTCGCGGTTGACCGTGGAAGTTTTGGCTGCGGGAATCTAGGAATCACCGGCATCCCTCTCTGGCTGGTCTTCGGGGATGGCGAACTCCTCGAACTCCATATCTGCAAGAATCGACAAAAAGGTGCTAAGTATGATAGAAAGTACCGGTTAAATAAAGGACGCAAGATAAACGGGAAATACCTGGGTGGGAGTTGCCCTCAGCCTCCGCAGTGTTGCCCGGGGAGGGTACCCCGCGCCCCGCTGCGTCATGGGCCGGGGAGGTACCCTCACCACCCGATTCGACCCTCCAGACCCAGCTTCCATAATTGTACTTCCTCCCGGTGAACGGATCACCACGAAGAAGGATCTCAACACTCGCTTCGAGATCGGGAGACGATGCCGGTAAGGTATACTCATGGTTGAGGAGGTGGTCGTTCCATTTTAGACCGGCTAAGGGGGTGACGAATGGGGGAAACTCGATAAAAACGAACTTTTCTTTCCACCCCCGGTTGCTTTGGGGGACATCAGAAATAAACTTCCTACCGGTGCGGCCTTTGAAATACACGAAGCCCTCGCAACCGGTCCCACCCGGTAGAACTTCGAAGCAGAAGAGAAAAAGACGCAATGAAGGGTCTATTTTGTGGTGGGAGCAAATATTTACAAAGGAGTGCAGGTAGCGATGCGCGTTAGGAGTTATCTGACCTGGCAGAATCCTAAACGCATGGCAAACTTCGGTGAGGAGGGGGCGCAAGGGAAAAACTATGCCCGCATCCAGGGAAATGGTGTGGAACCCTATCCTATCCTCCCGGTGGGGTTCAACGATATTGGGCCAGTTAGGTTCGTAGAGGAGGGTATACCCATCCGGGAGCCTCCTACGGATTTTCTTTAAAGCAATTTTAGATACACGGGAAGGTATGTCAAGGACATAGAAAGTGGGAAGCGGAAAGTAACCGGCAGCGTGAAGCCGCTCCTCCCACCCGTCCCGGGTTTCGTGTTCGGGGTCATAGGGGCCCGGTTCGTCATCGACCGGGTCATCCCTCCCCACGAAAGTTTCACCGGGCACCTGATTTACAGGATGCGGGTCGGGAATGGAGTTGGGAACCTGACCGGGCGTAGAGTCAAGAGAAGAAGACCCGGTCGAGGAAGAGGAGTTGGAGTCCTCAGAGGAGCAGTCCTCTGAAGAAGAGACCCTATCACTATGAGAAGACATGACCGGGAAAGTAGAGAAGGAAGGGGAAACTTACTTGGCTCGGAGGGCTGGATAGCGAAAGAGAAAGAACTTGACCGGTGAAAGCTCTGAGACTTGATCGCGGAAAGTGAGCAGAGAGGAGGGGTGGAGGCCCTTATATAGGAAGAGGAGGGCTGAAAGAGGTGACGTGGCCTCTCCAGGTTGCGCCGCGTCAGGCGGCGCAATGATGACCCACTGGCAGGCGAAACGGCAGGTCTGCAACCGACTGATTGCAACGGTTGATGTGCGACACGTGGCAAAAGTCAGAGTTTGAAATTCAAATTTCAAAAATTTTAGGCGGGAAGGGCCAAAATTTCAAAATTGGAGTCCTATTTCAGCCTTTTTACTTCCCGCTCATGACAAATTGCATGACCGAGAAGTGGAGGGCTTATTGATGGGTGTATTTCACCCAAGACCGGTCAAAGGGGAAGGCTAAATCTTTGACCGGTCAATCTCGAAAGTTTTAGAAGGGAGGCTTAAATCGTCAGCAAAACGATATATCATCGGCCAAAATATGACTGGTACACTTCACAAAAAAGTATACCGGTCAAACTACATTATCATCCTATTTATTCCAGACTTCGATCAATTCATCCCTCGGAGATTACCGGTGTAGTTTCTGGGGTTGGAAAGTGTCGGCAAAAGAGGATCTGCGAGGGCTTGGCGTGTAGCGACCCGTGTCAGTAGAGGACAACTGGAGATGCTGAAGAATCCATCCAAGGCGCTACTCGACAAAGGGAATGATCCCCTTCACAAGGCGACAAGGCAGCTTGAGTACGAAACCAGTCACCTCGCACAACATCAGCAGCATGCCCCCACGTGGGCGCACGTGGTCCTGTCCCCTTAGCCTAGTATAAATACTCATGTAAACCTCAAAAAGAGGGATCCGAATTCATTCTCTCTAAACTCTCTTGTAAAAGCACCCGTGCATTCTCCGTTATAATATAAATTGGGCTACAGGTGTTCCACCTAAAGTCCTACCGGTCAGTCTGCGTGTTTTTACCTTTCTTACTTTGCCAAATCAAGCAAACTATTTTAGACCCGGTCTAGTATAGTTTGACCGGTCAAGTAATTTACACCATCAAAAATGAATATCTGATGGTGTAAATTATCGACCGGTATATCATTTTAGCCCGGCAAAACGATAAACTAGTCTAAAAAATACACCAAACTATAAACACGAGGATTTTGACGTGGAAACCCAAATCGGGAGAAAACCACGGGCCTTTTTTGGCGGTACCTTGCCAACGGGGGATTTTTATTAATATCGGGGGTGTGTACACGGTACATAATTTAGGCGTAGAAGCCATTAATGGAAGCTTGAAGTTTCTTTTAAGAAATAAAATACAAAGGTGCTCTAGAGAGAGAGAGAATAAATGGCAGGGAGGAGAGTGAAATTGGCCCCCCAACAATTAGGGCAACCCTCCCTTTTATAGGAGAGGGTGAGAGCATCTACGGAGGAATATTCTCTCATTCCTCTATTTTATTAAACAGGCCCGGTTTAACTGTTCTTTGTAAATAATTGAGAAATATGGGCCGAGCCACGTATTATTTCCCATCAAGAAGTCCTCCACTTTTTTGAGTTGTGAGAATCATCAACTTAAAAAAGTAAACAAGTCCTCCGAGTGTGATCTTCAGTCTTCGTACTTTGAATTCTTGACCGGTAGATATTATTGCTAGTCCTCCGAGTCTTCATTAATTCTCTAATTTCTTGAATCAGAAGTTTTTTCCTGTAAAAAATAATTTGTACAACATTTTTTTTTGACCGGCCTATGCCGTGCTCAAAAAATTATTATGTTTACCGAGGAGCTCAGTGTTAGATGATTAAGATTTGCGCGAATAATTATCGTAACGAGAGCGATGTCAGTTCGATAAAGCAACGATGCTTCGAAAAGTTATTTCGTCGAGGTCGGTGTTAATACGAGTCAAGCAAACGATGCGTGACGAAATTAGTATACCGATGACAATGACCTTAGTTAATAAGAATTGAATCTTATGCGGTAGCTTTGTTGAAGATCAGCGTTAGCCTGGCTGACTGATGTAAATATCTTCATGTCTCGCGGAGACCATCTTCGATCAAAGTGCCTCAGATTGAGGGCTTAAATGAATCGGGCGTCCCCGATATGAGTTTGCTCACTTTTTTGCTGAAACCGATGTGCAATCGGTGTACCCAATTCGATTGGGCTCAGGCTTATTAGAAAATATGTGTAAGACTGGTGTGAGACCAGTATACCAGTTCGACTGGGTCACATATTTTCTTTATTATACTGAGCAAGACCGGTGTAGTAACCAGCGTGTCAGGCCAGGCCTGTGTCTCAGTCTTCCAATAAGATAATGCTGCTGGCCGGGCCAGGTCAACATTGGAGAATTAACCATGTCGGATGGTTTCGAGCCCTCTCCAAGGCCCAAAATGCACCCTTCTTCCAGGGCCCCCTCTTCCGGGTGATTAAGTCTTTTAATGGCCCTTTGATATTTACTATCCCGGGAAGGCCTTAGCTCACCCCCCGTTCAAGTCTTCCCTGAGAAGGGGGAAACAGGATGCGCCACGGTGGACGATCCCCTTCTATTTCTTTTAATGGGCATCTTTTAGTCCCCAATCAATTTGACGGCGCCGGCTGATTCCCCGACACCAGTCAAACCTCATGGGCCCGTGTAAGTACGGTTCGAACCTTCTTCCAGGTCCAGCCCTCTTGCAGGCATACGCTCTTCCGGGCCCCTCTTCTGGGTTTATTATTTTTTATTTTATACTGAGCAAGACCGGTGTAGTAACCGGCGTGCCAGGTCCGGGCCTGTGTCCCAGTCTTCCATTGTAAACTTGGTCCCACCAAGCCTTAAATCACTCTTGCCAAATGGGTTATCCACCCACCCTTCCTCACGTTCTGCATGTGGTGATGTATCACCAAATCTCACTAATTATTTTAGGGGGGGCCACAAACTTGGACAAGCACTTTTGTTATACTCCACTTCTTCACGTGATACCTCTTGGTGCAGGAATAATTGCACTTTGTATCTATGTGATGAGCAATTTAGCTCACTGGTTGTGATTCCTGCGGAGCGTCCTTTTCGTCCTTCACTAGACCCACATAAATTGTTTGCCTTACTTTGTTGTCATCCTCTTCCATCTCAAACATTGGATTCCTCGTTTCTATCCCCACTTTTATTTTATGTATCTCACGGTTGGAAAGAACATAGAACATGGAAACTTCTGACCCATCTCTTCAATAGCGTGAAAGGACGGTGAATGGAGTACAACATCCTTCGGTGGGAGTGTGAGACTTTCGGAGCAGTTACTCAACCCCCGCCCGATTTCGCCGGAAAGCAAAGTATAGTAGATAGACAGTACTTGGAGCTTGTGCAGGCGGTGCAGCTTACCTAAATGAAGCAGGTAGTGATCCCGTGAGACTATTCGAGCTCAAATTGACGAGAGCAAGCTCCGAATAGTCCCCAATCCGAGTCGAAACAGTCCCCTTGATGTTCATCGAAGAAATAACAAGCTTTTTCAGATTGGCAAAAGATGAGAGCCTTTTCGGCCATTGGAGCTCAACCTCAACGGCTTCTATGCTAATCTCGGAGAAAAATTAAATCCACGAGTTGAAGGTGATGAAATCCCACCTGCAGGGATTCGCATTGAATGGGTTCTAACTTTCAGTAAAAGAACAGGGGATGCAGCGGAGGAGCAGAGGAGTGAATCCATGAGTAGAGCACCGTCGCCTCGTCAGTGGTTGTGCTGACGCATGCAGTCGGAGAGGAGAGTGAAAATGAGGTAGAGAAGTGGCGGCGGCGGATCCAAGCAGCGGCGGCAGCATATCTGGGCATCGGCAGCGGCAGGTCTGAGAATCGGCAGCGGCGGGTCTGAGCATCGGCGGCGACAGGTCTGCGCATCGGCGGCGGCGGATCTGAGCATCAGCGTCGGATCTGAGCAGCGGCAGCGACGGCGGATTTGAGCAGCGGTGGCAGCAATCAACTTCCTCTATTTGATAATGACTTTGGATTTTAACCGCGGCTATCCTCATCGGAGGTTGCGAGGTGGATTGCAGCGGCGGTGGCTCCCGTCCCTGTGGCAAAATGGTGGCTTCGAGAGATCAAGGACATCTATCACCATAGAATCGTGGTGGTGCTCCTCTGGCCATTCTTCCTATTTTCTTCAAGATCTCTCCCTCTTCTTGTTTTTTTGCAAAATTCAAGAAAAGCTTCATACTCTCCTCCTTTTTTTGTTTCTCACACTTTCGGCTGTGCAAGATGGCCGAACAAAGATGAAGCTTTTTGTTCGTGTCCCACGGTCGGCGCCAAAATGATGGTGTAAATTATCGACCGGTATACCGTTTTAGCCCGGCTAAAACGATAAACTAGTCTAAAAATACACCAAAATATAAACACGGGGATTTTGACGTGGAAACCCAAATCGGGAGAAAACCACGGGCCTTTTTTGGCGGTACCTTGCCAACGGGGGATTTTTATTAATATCGGGGGTGTGTACACGGTACATAATTTAGGCGTAGAAGCCATTAATGGAAGCTTGAAGTTTCTTTGAAGAAATAAAATACAAAGGTGCTCTAGAGAGAGAGAGAGAATAAATGGCAGGGAGGAGAGTGAAATTGGCACCCCCCAACAATTAGGGCAACCCTCCCTTTTATAGGAGAGGGTGAGAGCATCTACAGAGGAATATTCTCTCATTCCTCTATTTTATTAAACAGGCCCGGTTTAACTGTTCTTTGTAAATAATTGGGAAATATGGGCCGAGCCACGTATTATTTCCCATCAATATCCTTTTTGGACATTTCAATTCTAAGGACTTTTTAAGGCGTGTCCAATTTGTTTATAAGACTTTTTTTGCATATTTTAATTTTTCATTTCTTTTTTCCATATTTTTATTTTTTTATTCTAGGTTTTTTTTAACTTTGCAAAAAATTATTCTAAGTAACAAAAAGTGAAAATGTTTAATTTGATATAGATGTAATGTATATTAATTTTTTTATTTTTATTTTTATTTCAAACACAAAGAATTTTAAAATTTTTAAAACATTATAAAAAATTGAAAATATATTTTAAAAAAATTCTAGGAAAAAGAAAAAAGAGAAAGAATAAATTTTTAAAAACGGGAAAACACAAATAATAAACGAAAATAAGAAATGAGCACAAATGCCCCTATGGTTTAGAAATTATGTGCCAATGCCCTCTTTTTGTCGGAAAATAGCCAGAAAATGATCAGATGGGTGTGAGTGTAACGTTTTGAAACCACGAGAACTTTAGAAATAAATTTTGAAAACCGAGGGGGTATTGGTGCCAATTTCCCACCCACAGGGGCACCAGAGCTATTTGGCCAATGTTTTGCCCTAGACCATTACCTTTTTATGACTTTGGCTTGTACTGCCTCCTTGAGCAAATAATCTTTCCATTTGGTTTTTCTTGGTCAAAGTTTCTTGATTTTGACTAGAAAAAATATATTATATTATGATGTAAATTTAATACCAATATATTCATATTGAAACATAATTTTGAAATTTTAAATTTTAAAAAATACATTTATGTTTAAATATTATATCCATGTTAGGCTAAATTTTTTATGGATATGAATTAAAGTAGGGTAGTGGGTGTAACGCCCCAAAAATAGGCCTATCAGAGTTAAATAATTTATAATAAATTAATTACTGAGAAGGACCCAAAAATAAGTAAATTCTAAAGTTTGTCAATAAATAATGAAAATCATACCATTATGTAGAGTTTGACTGTCTGACCCCAACGGTTCAATCAGATTTCAATTTGGAGAAAGTTGGAACAAAAAGTGTACCCCAACTGGGACCAAAATTAGTCCCAATCAGGGACTACACACCAAACGGCGCCCTGTTCAATTACGCCGATTCCAAATCGTCGCTCAATCACGGAAGCTGCAACCCATGTCTTCTTCCTTCCTCACTTGGCCATTTAAGAACAACCCAACTCCCTCATTTCATCACCAAAACAACTCATTCTTCATTCTATATTGTTCCTTGCTGAGAGTAGAGTGCAGTGGTGCTGTCATCTTTGTGTGAGGTCGCCGGAGCAGTGAGATAGAGTCGCCGGAAGGTTCGCCAGAAAATCTTCAAAACCTCCCTTACGCTTCAAGGTAAGCCCGTAGATATATCTAAAGATTAGAATGTTCATATAGGTTGTTTTTACATTCATAAATGGTCATTTGGTTGAGTTTTGTGTTTGACATGTTTGAAGAACCAAGAATCATAAACCTTGAATTTGATGTTAAAAATATGTTTTAATGATTCTAAAATGATCTATGAACCTTGGAGAACATTTCTATATAGTTTAATTGAAGTTTGGTACCTAAAATTGATATGTCCGAAAATGGACCGAAGGTAGAAGACAATGAACAATGGCTGAAAATCGATTATTTACTTACTAAAAATCGATTAGAATTTTATTCAGATCAGTGGTTCGAAGTCAGTACCATTTAATCGATTATTTATATTGTAAAAATCGATTATTATGAATTAATGGATTATTTAAATTGTAAAAATCGATTTTTTTATGAATTAATCGATTATTTATAGTGGAAAAATCGATTATAATGAATTTATTGATTATTTAAATTGTAAAAATCGATTATAATGAATTAATTGATTAGTTAAATTGTAAAAAAATCGATTATTATGAATTAATGGATTATATAAAATTATATAAATCAATTTTTATAAATTAATTGATTATTTTAAATTATTTTTCTCAAATCCAGATGAAAATGTTCATAAAAATATACTCTAAAATCCTATTTTTGATACCAATTAATTATGCACAATATAAATATGATTTTGTACAATAAAAATGATGTTTGTGACATATAAACATCATGTGATGCATGACGGTAAGTTCGGGTGTTAACACTCGAGACCAGGCCGCTATTTGTTATTATGCATTATGACGATTGTTTGATTATTGATTATAATGAATTAATGATGATGAACGTTTTGAATGATGATCATGAATTGTTAAAGTGAAAATAATGAATTAATCAATCGTATTGTTAAGGATATCTAGAATAACTCTAAGATATACCCACTTGTATATTGATGATGATTATTAAGGATATCAAGAAGAACTCTAAGATATACCTACTTGACCAATTCATATTTCGGGTTAAAACGTACGTACGGGATCCAGACCGGATATCACCCACCCGACAAATCATTGTTCGGTTGGTACGTAATCCACATGACTCATAGGGTGGATTATCGATTTTTGTGTTCTGCATTAAACTATTTATAGTTTAAGGGCCTGGTTAGAATTACTGCCTTAGACTAGGAATAGCTAAGAGCTGAATATAAAATGACGTGGCCTTAGATTAAGAATAATTTAAGAGCATTATTGATATATATTGAATATCAAATGACTTGGAATAAAATATTGAAAATATTTTGAATGTTTGAACCATATATTGTGTGCATGATATCAAATGGTTGATTATGAATTGAGATTCAATTTATGTGGATGCTCGACGTTTTAGATATGCTTACTCAGCTTCACCGCTACGCGTGTAGTGTATTTTATTTGCTACACGCAGGTAAACAGAAAGATTAATGTGATCCTGGCGGCAGATGGGGCGAGATTGTCAGGATGGATGTGACAAGTTTTGAAATAATTTATGATATGTCAATATTAAATTCGTTTCCGCAATATTGTTAAATACTCCGTACTGTATATGTTATGAAAAATATTATTGGGATTAATAAAGTGTGTTTGAAAAGTTTTAAATTTTACGATTACCAAGTTAAATACTTTAGTCCGAATGAGGCTGCAGACCTGGACGGATTAGGGTGTTACAGTGGGTATGTAGAAAAATTAATTATGTTGGGATATTAAATTTAATAAATTAAAATGATACGTTGCTAGAAATTGTAATAATCTTTTAATTAATTTATCTGGCTAATTTGTTAATTAATATTTGAAAGTTTATTATGTTCATTTGTCTATGAATGTGAAAAGTAATTTAATCAACTAATACTAGCATATTAATAATGCCTAGAGATATGTTAAATTTATGGAGTACTTGTGAAAGAATTCCTCACCAGCCAAATTAATTAGTTAATTTAATAGTCTAACTAGTTAAAGTATCTAAAAAGTTTCGAGTTTCTGAAATCAATTCATATACCCTCATTATTCATCCGAGTTTCTTGTGGCATTTCGACTACCCCCAAGGACCTCTCAATTGCAAGATTTGATGGCGATTTGCAAAAACCTCCAATTTCGGATTTTAGGGTTTTTTCGAGTGGAAAAATTCAAATTCGAGGAGTTGCAGGCCAAATTGGACAAAATGATTTGGATATTCTTGCTCCTCATCGCAAGACGAAGAGAACAGCGGTGGTCCCGCCGGAATCTGACCAGGTTGATTTTCCAGTGACTTTGACGTGGTGCGACGCAGCGGGGAGCGGAAGAAAAGAAAAAAAGAAATGGGGTCAAATTGAAAATTTTAAAATATATAAAATTCTAATTTGGCCTAAATGACCGGAAGTTAACCCGGGAAACGGGAAAATGGAATTTTAGTGAAAGGATTGTGTAATTTCAGGGATTTTTATGAAAGGATTTGAAGTTTAGGTACCACTTCGAAATTTCAGCTAAAGTTCAGGTACCACTGGTGAAATTTACCTAGTAATTTATGACAATGACAATGGTTTCACGTGTTCAATATCGGTATCATTCTTTCGAGCTTTTAATGTTAAAGACCTTTTACTATTTCATAAATTTTTAATTTTATTTTGGAAAACTTGAAAACTTAAATTTAGATTTCAAATAACAGATATGATCCAAATTACTTGTTTCAAAATTTAAAAAAAAATCAAATTCTTCTAATTCAAACACAGTCAATTACGAATTCAAACATCTCCCCCAGCCATTTACAAATCCAATGCAAATTTTTCTGTGATTCTAAGATGCACAATCATTCTATGGACTTTAGTATATCAACGCCATATTTGAAGTGAGCTATTTGAAAAGAATAAATGATTATCATGCCGGCTCAATAAAAGTGTTAGAAGATCCACATTTGACACGTAAACTTTAAGATCATGAAATCACACCTTAATTTTCTTTTAATTTGTTTTTGTGCCACTCTTTTGAACCACCTATTGGAGTGGGTGTAACATGTAGTATATCACAACGTGTAAGGCCTTTTGGGAGAGTACAAAAACAAATTTGTTTGGGATTATCCACTAGAGAAAAATCACAAAATCATACAAATGTGGCTTGGTTTGAGAACACGCACGGTCCAAACACGCGGTTCTGAGCCCAAATTTGTTTACCCTCGCATTGTCCTGAATTGAGAGTTGCCTTAGGCGTGTTTGTTTTTTCTGCAGGAAAAGGTCTGCGGTCTGCGGACCACTACTGTAGACATCTGAGGAGAAGTGGTGGACCGAAGGTCTGCGGTCTGCAAGAAGAAGACTGTTTGTTTTTTAATGTCTGTAGATTGCTATATAAATTAATGGTGGTAGTGTATGGTGGTGGTGTATGGACGATTGTGATGGTGGTGGAGGGTGGTGGTGGACGTTGACGGAGGTGGTGGTGGACGGTGGTGGCGGTAGATGGTGGCGGCGGTGGTGGACGACGATGGTGATGGACGGTGACGGTGATGGTGGACGGTGGTAGTGGTGGACGGTTGTGGTG